AATCCAAGGGAGGAACATCAAATGGACCAAATTTGGGAACCGGAAGAGGTAAGGAGTCCGAAATGTACCTCTGTGCCTCCACATTGTGGAAACTCACTTGTAGTGTATAAGATGAACTAGATGGACCCATACTTACCAAAACATGGATTAATAGCTTCTACACATGACTATGAGGACAAACATGAGTGAAACGGTCTCAATCCAAGGGAGGAACATCAAATGGACCAAATTTGGGAACCGGAAGAGGTAAGGAGTCCGAAATGTACCTCTGTGCCTCCACATTGTGGAAACTCACTTGTAGTGTATAAGATGAACTAGATGGACCCATACTTACCAAAACATGGATTAATAGCTTCTACACATGACTATGAGGACAAACATGAGTGAAACGGTCTCAATCCAAGGGAGGAACATCAAATGGACCAAATTTGGGAACCGGAAGAGGTAAGGAGTCCGAAATGTACCTCTGTGCCTCCACATTGTGGAAACTCACTTGTAGTGTATAAGATGAACTAGATGGACCCATACTTACCAAAACATGGATTAATAGCTTCTACACATGACTATGAGGACAAACATGAGTGAAACGGTCTCAATCCAAGGGAGGAACATCAAATGGACCAAATTTGGGAACCGGAAGAGGTAAGGAGTCCGAAATGTACCTCTGTGCCTCCACATTGTGGAAACTCACTTGTAGTGTATAAGATGAACTAGATGGACCCATACTTACCAAAACATGGATTAATAGCTTCTACACATGACTATGAGGACAAACATGAGTGAAACGGTCTCAATCCAAGGGAGGAACATCAAATGGACCAAATTTGGGAACCGGAAGAGGTAAGGAGTCCGAAATGTACCTTGTGCCTCCACATTGTGGAAACTCACTTGTAGTGTATAAGATGAACTAGATGGACCCATACTTACCAAAACATGGATCCACATGACTATGAGGACAAACATGAGTGAAACGGTCTCAATCCAAGGGAGGAACATCAAATGGACCAAATTTGGGAACCGGAAGAGGTAAGGAGTCCGAAATGTACCTCTGTGCCTCCACATTGTGGAAACTCACTTGTAGTGTATAAGATGAACTAGATGGACCCATACTTACCAAAACATGGATTAATAGCTTCTACACATGACTATGAGGACAAACATGAGTGAAACGGTCTCAATCCAAGGGAGGAACATCAAATGGACCAAATTTGGGAACCGGAAGACAAGCAAGATCTTCCAAACGCCATGAACGCCGCTGAGATTACTGACAAACTTGGGCTTCACTCTCTCCGCCAACGACACTGGTAAGCCATAGAAAAAAACTTAACCGGATACCTAAACAGAACATCTAGACCGCAAGAACTGATGTAAACGTTTATAAAACAGGTACATACAGAGCACTTGTGCTACTTCCGGAGAAGGGCTTTACGAGGGACTTGACTGGCTCTCCAACAACATCGCAAACAAGGTATTTCAAGTTCACGACCCTTTAAATCGTTATTGATCTATGATCTTTGATTGTTAAAGTCTTAACTAAACGTTTGATCAAATGCAGGCTTAGGAGAGCAATGTGTGGCTTTGTTTAATCGAAGAGAGTGTGTCTTGTCTTCTTCGTCTCTCCTTCCTTCTTCCGTCTCAAACTTTTTATCATTTCATACTTTGTTCTTCGCTCTAATAATTCTCTAAGTTTTTCTTTTCGTTATCGTAAAATTCAAACGCTTATAAAATTGTTCCAGTTTCGGCGGAGATTCCAATTTCTTAGTCTTCAACATTTATTAAATTTATTTTTTCAGTTTTTTCTACTTAATTTCGTGAGAAGGATTCGAAAAGCAATGAAATTGTACTATTAATCTAAAACTGAAAGATAGATCTCGTTATGAGTAAAGTGTCTGATAATGTTGCATGTGATATTGTTTAAGTGATATAGGTGGTTATCTTCGTAAGTCGAAGCAATGTTAACTATGTTAGATCCGTCGGCCATTGTCAGAAGAACATGTTGAGAATCTTTGGATTATCCCCTATGACTTTTGTATTTTTCTTTTGTTTATCTGGGCCAAAATGACATTTTCTAAATTCCAAACCGTATAATCAAGCAGGCCTGATTGTAATTGCACGTTTAGGTTAAGCCCAAGTCTGTCCATAAGTCTATTGCAAAAGAAAATGCGGTGAGCGTGGATCGAACACGCGACCTTCAGATCTTCAGTCTGACGCTCTCCCAACTGAGCTATCCCCGCGATTTGTTAATAAAAGATAATTAAACAAAATATATATTTATTTTGTAATTAAAGCAGAAGACGCGGAAATTTAGCTTTTGGCATAAGTAGAGAATTGCTGCGTCCCACGAATCTCCCTCTTACGTTCGAAGACCTTCTTTGTTCTTTGGACGACCATCGGCGACAGTGAAAGTCTAGGATCTTCTTCGGCGTTGTTTTCTTTTTCCGGTGAGTCTCTGTTCTTCGTTGAATCCGCCTCTCTCTCTTGCTCTCTTTGTTAAGTCGATCGTCTGTTCGATTATCTATCGCGCGATCCTGGTCCGTCATTTCCAGATCTGTGTGTATTCTCCCAATTTCTTTATGGATGCAACATGATTTATTGTGATTCTGTTATCTGGTGATGATAGATCTGTATCTGCATGGTCGTGATTTGTTCTGATCTAGATCGTGCGTTCACCTGAAACCGGAATTTAGATCTCTCACTGTTAATCACAATGTGTATTTGATCGGGACTTGAGGTCACGATTGAGATCCGGGACAATTTGTAAACATCTGAGCATTAATTAGCGAAATCGTAGGATTCATCAAAGCTGCTCTGCTTTAAAATTGTTTTCTATAGTGATGATTTTATGTGAAACAATGAACAGGCTCGAAGAAATGGGGTTGTCCTTCGGTAAGTTGTTCAGCAGGCTCTTTGCAAAGAAGGAGATGCGAATCCTGATGGTGGGTCTCGATGCTGCTGGTAAGACCACCATTTTGTACAAGCTCAAGCTTGGAGAGATCGTCACTACCATTCCTACTATTGGTCAGTTTCTTACTTTTCCTGCTCTTTCTTGTATAAGGTTTATCTCAATGGTCTTGGTATAATTATTGCATCTAGAGTTGAATTAGTAATAATTAGAAGATGATGGAGAAATTTTAAGTTTGAAATTGGGATAGATATCTGCAAGGTTTTCTCCTTTTGTTAACACTTTGTGCTCAACTTGGTAAGGAGAGTCCATCTTGTGTGTGCTTAACGTGACTAATCTTGTTATTGGTAGGTTTCAATGTGGAGACTGTTGAATACAAGAACATTAGCTTCACCGTCTGGGATGTTGGGGGTCAAGACAAGGTACTGTCATTTGTCATTTGCATTCCTTTACCATCACTCTACAATTAACAAAAGCTAAAATGACACTTCACTATTCTAATGTGACGATGTTTTCTTTTGTTGTCTCATACAGATTCGTCCATTGTGGAGGCACTACTTCCAGAACACACAGGGGCTGATCTTTGTGGTAGACAGCAATGACCGTGACCGTGTTGTGGAAGCTAGGGATGAGCTTCACAGGATGTTGAACGAGGTAATACTCAAAACCAATATCTCCTTCTCTATTTTAACTTGAAGAAGCAAGAAGCAAAGAGGCAACGATTTTGGTTTGACATTATTGTCTTGTTATGTTTTCCTTTGACTGTTACAGGATGAGTTGAGAGATGCTGTGCTTCTCGTTTTCGCTAACAAGCAAGATCTTCCAAACGCCATGAACGCCGCTGAGATTACTGACAAACTTGGACTTCACTCTCTCCGTCAACGACACTGGTAAGCCAAAAAAGAAATGTTAACTGCATACATAAACAGAACACTGAAACCGTAGGAACTGATGTAATCTTTGGTGGGTTTTAACAGGTACATACAGAGCACTTGTGCTACTTCCGGAGAAGGGCTTTACGAGGGACTTGACTGGCTCTCCAACAACATCGCGAACAAGGTATATCAAACTTGTTAAATCGTTATGGATTTATATAATCTTTGATTGTTGTTCAATTGTTAACTAAATGTGTTTTTAAATGCAGGCCTAGGAGAGCAATGTGTGGTTTTGTTTAATCGAAGAGAGTGTCTTGTCTTCTTCGTCTCTCTATCCTTTCTTCTACCGTCTCAAACTTTATCATTTCCTACTTCTGTTCTTCGTTCTAATAATTCTCTTAAGTTTTTTTTTACTTTCTTTTATCGTAAAATTCAGACGCTTATAAAATGGGCCCAATTTCATTTCCTTAGGTTTCGACATTTATTAAATTTATTTATTCAGCTTTCCTCACCTAATTTCGTTAGAACTTAAAGGATTTGGTAAGTGATGACAATATTGTACGACTAATATAAAAAACTGCTCTCAAGTAAAAGTGATACTCCCTCCGTTTTTTAAAGATAAATTTTCTAATTTTTTCACACGGATTAAAGAAAAGTTGATTTTCAATCATTAATGCATAGATTTCTGCAATAAAACAACTTTTTATAATTTTAAACCAATAAAAATCCAACAAATACAATCAATATTTCTTGAAAACTGAAAAAGTGCTTCAAAAAAGTAAAAAATTTATCTTTGTGAAATAACGCATAATTGCTAGAAAATTCATCTTAAAAAAATGGAGGGAGTATACACCAATCTATAAAAAAACGCTTCTTTATTACCCAACGGAGTATTATCGTAAAGTTTAAACTCTGTCATACACTAATCTACAAATCGGATTGGGCATTTTATGCGACGCCGGCGTAATTAACTAATTACTGTTTCCCTTCCCCACCAAATCATAATTAATACGGACGAAAATAGAAAAAAAAAAAAAAGAATCGGTAATCAAAAGCTAAAATGTTAGCGGCTTTTTTTCAAGGATTCACAAGTACTACACTCTAAAGTGGAACTTTTCTCTTTCTTCCTTCCTTCCTTCCTTCCTTCCATCTCTGGTCTTTCTTCTTCTGCTTCTAGGGTTTTGAGATTTTGGTGAGGAAGAGTGAGTGGTTTCTTAAAAAGCATGTTGACAACTACTGGGAGAAAGGAGAAGCTCTCCGCTTCTCAAGGTTCTGAAATCGAAGCTTCTTCCAGCGAGTACGAAAATGGTACTGGAAATGTATGGTATCGAGCTGTTTTGGAAGAAAATCTGGCGAAATCGAAGCGGAAGAAGCTCTCTGTTCGCCACTTACACCCTCAGCTCAAGGAAGACTATTTACCGCCGGTAATCACAACTTCCTTCCATCGTCTAATCCGTCCAGTCCCGCCGCAGGATCCGTTTCCCGACGTCGATTTCGAGGAAGGTGACATGGTTGATGCTGCTCGCGACGGTGGATGGTGGTCTGGCTGGGTGCTCAAAGCCTTGGGAAATCGGCGCTTCTCTGTGTACCTTCGATTCGAACCTGACGTCCTCGAGTTTGATCGGAAATCTCTGCGCCCACATTTGGTGTGGAAAGACGAAGAATGGTTCCGATGCGAAAAACGAGTGAGTCTCTGAATTTTTTCTCTCTTCACTCATTTTGATTGAAAGTTTTCATCTTTTGTGGGTGTTTAGATGAATAATGCCTATTTCACTCTTTTCAGGTATTGACAGAGTCAGATTTTAGCGCCGGAAAAAGAGTTGAAGTGAAAACAAAGGTGGAAACTTTTGGGGATGTTTGGGCTCCCGGGATGGCTATTAAGGAGAATGAGGATGGGACGGTGCTTGTCAAGTACAAGGTCAAGTCTTTGAGCGGTGAATGTGCTAAGATAAGCGTTCCTTTCTCCAGAATCCAGCCTTTACCACCACCTTGTGGAGAAAGAGTGTACGGCTTGATGGATAGTGTTCATGTGCTTGTCGAGTCTGGGTGGTGTCCAGGTGTAATCACTAAGCTTCTTTACGGGAAGAAATACACTGTAAAGTTTGGGCAAAGCAAGATGAGTGTGGACTTTGACCACTCCAAGTTAAGGCCTTCTGTGAAGTGGAGAGATGGAGTCTGGAAAACTAAAGAAAAGGTTCTTCTTTTTTCTTGTTGTTGGTTGTTGTTATAAGTCTTTTGTGGGGGAAATGCATTTAAAATCAGATTGTGTATTTGTATTGCAATTTCAGGTTATGGGTAGCGATGAGAGTCCGCATGTTGTTGAAGAAACAACTGCTTCAAACCGCATAAGGGTAACTATTCGAACACCACTGAGAGCAACGCGTTCTTCTAGTAGCAGCGCTATTCAGAATCCTACTCTGGCATCCTGCAATGGAGGAGGAGTTGCAGAAGCTAGTGAAGTATCTGTCGTTGAGAGTGAAACACTGATCTCCGAAACTGCATCTGTGAGTTACATCATTCCTTCTCCTCTCTATGTCTCTCTAGTTGCACGCTACTTCAATAGTCTAAGTTGACTTTAACTTGCTTGCAGCAATATTGGTTCAGTGACATAAATTGGTTAACTTTGTGTGTGTTTCTGCAGCAGTTATCTGGTGTTTTAGGAAGTGAGATGGCTCATGCTGTGATGAATGGGAACACGAACACTCCAGTCCCAAACCAACCAGAGATAGCAGCAAGTAAGTGTTCATACCGTTCACAAAGTAAGATTGTTACAAGTTGTTTGTGTCACGAAATGAATCTACTTTACTACTGTTTCCAGCAAAAGAGTCTCACTCATCTGTAGTCCTGGGTGTAGCTGCAATTCAAGGAAAAACAACTCCGAGGAAGAAACTTCAGACAATGAAGAATCAAAAGAGCTCTTCAAATGATTCTGTGGGAGAGAAGGTGAAAGTTAGTTAGTCGTCGGCTATTAAACACATGGCATTTTTTCGGTTGTTCATCCTCTTGAGTACTCTATGCAGGCACCTGAGGAGACGAGTAACAGAGAGAGCGTTAACAAAAGGAAAAGAGGACAACCACGCAAGTTCATAAGCACAGAGCCTATTCAAAAAACTGGTATGTTGTCTTTAACTGTTAATGGATAATTACATGAATTTATGTCTCTTTGCAATCTTGAAACATCATTGGCATTATAAAAACTTGTAGGTGTAGCTGGTAGTGATTCAAATCCTACGACTACTGAAACTGCTAATATGGATGAGGATGATAATGATACGCCTCTCGCTTCATGGGTCAACGGTGGAAATTCATCATCTGGTTAGGATTGATTAACGTCATTTGAACAATTAGTTTGAGATGCTCTTTTGAGCTTTTGGTTCTCATTTGTTTCGTGTTTTGCTTATAATCTGTTCCTCAGGGCAACAATCCGCTTCACAGAGTCCTGATCCAATGCTAAACTCTGTTGTGGAGAAGCACGTCGATGTTGTGAACACTCCTCTAGCGAAAGAGTCGACAATGGTGCTGCCGTTTGCAAAGAGGTCACCGTGTTGGAAAGTCCTTGAAGCAATGGAGATCTTAAAAGCTGTGCCACAGCGTCCTCATTTCCTTCCACTGCTAGAGAAGGAAGAAGAGTCCCGCGAAGGAGACGCGATTGGTGCGATGGTGACGTTCACCGGGCTGTTAGAGAAAGTTAACAATCTACAAGTCGACGATCCAGCAAGCGCGATAAACAGGATCATCGAGTGCTTCGACAAGCTCGAGAAACACGGGTTTGATGTCACAGCACCTCGGTCTCGTATTGGCAAGCTACTGTCCATTAAAGAAAGCCAGGGATTGGCACTGCAAGAGTTACAAGTTGCTGAGAGAGAGATCGCAGAGAACGACAACAAAAGAAGGAAGTGTGAAGCAGATATTGAAGACGTGTCAAGGAAGGTTGTGGAATTGCAGAAGAAGGTTTTGGAACTGCAGGAGCAGCAAGCATTGCTTAAGGAAGAGAAAGTGACAATGGACATGGACATTGACCGGATGCAGTCTCGCGCAGCGGTTCTCGACCAAAAGGTTCAGAGTGAAGAGCACATGTTTCGGACAACTGTTGCTGCCCCATGGAACTAACAAAGCCAATTATATATCTAATGTTTTGTGTTTATATAATCTGATAAGTCCTCTGACTAGCCAAGTAACAAGTCTATGTGCCTTTTGTGACTCGGAAGTATCAAATTTTCTCTTTTGCTTATGAAATTGATACTGATAATTAATTAATTATCGGCAAGGCAAACTATACAGAAACAAGAATCTTCAAAGAAAGGGATAAACTTTTGGGTAAATAAACGCAAATATTTGTTTTCACTCAAATACCTTACAGAGATGAATAATTTCTAGAATATTTTTTGGTCAAAAAGGTAAATGAAAATAGCAGACAAGCTTTATAGATAGATTGTCAAAGTAGAGAGAATCAGAGAAGATTGAGAAAATGATAAGTCTGATTTCACTTGCGGTTCTTGCTCTCGTCCTTCTCCCTCTCTCTCTTCTTGTAAAGCTTCTCGAGGACACGTTTTGCCTCACAGGTTGGAAAATTGGAAAGATCGTAATAATGAGGAGCAACATCTACTAGCCTGCGAATCCATCCACCACACAAATAAAGTAAGGATCTTTTAGAGATGCTAAACCAAAGAAAACAAGAACAGGAGGAAACGTAAAAACTTACCATTCACCGCGAATATCTGTCACAGTTCTGATGAAATTCCGGCTAGTCAAAACATACTCGTTGTAGATTACCCACTCCGGTTTGTGATCCAAGCAGTTGGATGGATGCAAATGAACCACCTTGCAAACAACAAGTTGTTAGTTTTACAATCAGATATATTAAAACGAGAGAATTTTTTCACAGATGTAAAGTGGATTCGTTTAGACAGACCTGATTATCTTTGACGGTCAAGTAATGTCCAGTGCGTTCCAAGTGAGCCACTTGCATGAAATAACCGGCAAGCATGGCCTTTCTTATGTTGATGTAGTAGTCGCGGCTATTGAAATCAGTGCTGCACATCTTCAGGTTGAATCTTGACATTATCCGGACCAGCTGCTGTCTAACATTGTCTGCAGATTTCATTGCTCTATTGTTGACGAAGTTTTCGTAGCACCAGTTTGGGTCTTCATCTGTAACACAAGAATTCATTTTGACCAACTGTGTTAGTTTCGGCTAAAACAAGAGAGAAAGAAGAGGAACAAAAAGAGAAGAAAGGGAGAGCGATAACTTACTGTTTTGCTTAAAGGCATGGTATACGTTAAGCAACGTCAGGTGATCCCCATCAATGTGTCCAAACCTAGCTTTAGCTTCATCTGCTGCTTTTTGGGCCTCTCTAGGCCGGATAAAGCAATTCGGTACTAAGAAATAATTGGTTTTTATAACAGAAGAGGCCCATGGAAGAGGTCAGCAGATGCATAGAGGCGATGAGACTGATACCATTTGCTTCATGAGAGAGAATAACTGAGAAACTGCAACTATATGCATCAGCACTTACTTATGATACCCCTTAACCATGGGTATGCACAACCCAGACCATAGACTGCTGATGACAACCTAACTCAACTTACTTAACTCTACACAATCATGCACATCTACGCATAAAGACGAGTTCTAATGCAGAGAAAACAAGCATGTGAATGGAAACAACTAGCAAGATTAAGCCTACCCACACCTACATACCTACCCCAAGATGACAAGAACAGATAAATACAAGCAAAGGGTGTACCTGAGAGCATTGCTGAAACCGAGAGTATCTCGTTGGAGCAGTTGAATTCTGGACTGACTATGAGCATCTTTGCCATCTGTGGATCCAAGGGGAACTCGCTCATTATCTCACCCGTCCTTGTCAAGTTACCTTCGTCATCAAGAGCTCCCAAATAATTCAAAACCTCCAAGGCTCGCATCAGCGTCTCTGGAGCAGGGGGATCCATGAAATCGAAGTGCACCAAGTCATCTATGCCCAGTTTCTTCAAAGTCAGTACCGTGTTTGCAAGATTTGACCTCAATATTTCAGGATAAGTCTGTGGCTGCAAGTCATTGTTGAAACTCTTCTCTGTGTAGAGCCTGAAACATTTTCCAGGCCGTGTTCTACCGGCACGACCTGATCTCTGGTGAGCACTTGCCTTCGATATCGGGGACACCAACAAAGACTCAACACGGATTCGTGGGTTGTAGACTTTTTGCTTAGCAAAGCCAGGGTCAATGACGTAAACAATCCCATCAATAGTTAAAGAAGTCTCAGCAATGTTGGTGGAGACAACAATCTTTCTCCCAGCAGGACCACCTTCTGTTACCGGCTCTGGAGCAGGATCAAATATCTTCTGCTGCATCGCAGGTGGAAGAGTGGAATACAATGGCACAACTTTGATAGGCCCCACTTGATCCCCAAGATTACCAACCTCTTTATTGATTTTGCGGCATGCATCTTCAATCTCTTCCTCCCCAGTCAAGAAAACAAGAATATCACCAGGTGGCTCACACATGTGTATCTGGACAACAGTCCTAATAGCAGCCTCAAGATAGTCCCTCTCAGGCTCCTGAGTGTAGAAGATCTCAACGGGATGAAGCCTACCAGGAACTTTCATAAGAGGCGCACCGCTGAAATACTCCTGAAACTTCTCAGCTTCTAAAGTTGCACTCATCACAACTAACTTAAGGTCAGGCCTATTTTTCAACACCTCTTTCAGAAGACCAAACAGCACATCTGTAGCTAGAGTCCTTTCGTGGGCCTCATCGAGAATAATCACCTTGTATCTCTCTAGAAGAGGATCAGCCATTGCTTCTCTGAGCAGCATACCATCAGTCAAGTACCTGGTCATGGTGAACAACACAAGATTAGATCCAACTCCAAAAGTACAAAAACTACGGCTTAAGCAGCTAAAGAGAGACGATAAGCTTACTTAAGCACTGTTCTGGGGCTACTGCAATCCTCGAAACGGATGCTGTAACCAACTTCCTCCCCAATGGCTACATCCATCTCATCAGCAACACGACGGGACACAGACATGGCTGCAACTCTACGAGGCTGTGTGCATCCAACCAACCACTTCCTACGCTTATCCGAGGTTTCAGCATCTACAGCATCTATCACAAACTGTGGAATCTGTACAACAAATTTTAAAAAGTGTTAGCCTTTGAATCAAGCATTATCTCCAATTAGCATTAACCTGAAGCTATCATTCCTCAGGCGACATATCAAACAATTGATCAAATGCGAAGTATCTGGAATAGAAAAGATTGAAGCTTTACCTGGGTAGTTTTACCACTACCAGTCTCACCGACCAGAATTAGGGTTTGATTGCTGTTCAAAGTTTTGAGAAACTCCTCTTTCTGTAGCCAGACTGGTAGAGTCCTCCGTTTCTCCAGTATCTCATAATACTTCTGCGAATACGGCTTTCCGTTCCATTTATTGATCAAACTGTTGACGTCGGCGATTCCATTGTTTCTGACTGTCTTCGCTGGAGCTGACGGATCGTCCATGACATCGAACAAACTAACTTTCCTTTTCCTCTCGGTACCCATCACGCGAATCCCTTCCGAACGAACGAACAAAACGGACGGGAAGTAAGAGGGAGAGAGGAGGAGGAGGAAGCACACACAATGCCCTTAGCAAGTGGCAAAAGAAGAACGATGGAAGCTAGGGTTCGGCAGCGTGATTTAGGAAGGAGAGAGTGGCGGCGAAAGTTAAAACTTTCAATTTCACCCCACAACTTAACAATACATTCTTTAGCTCCCTGAGATATTAGGAAAGCGGCCTAAGAGTCCGTTATGTGGGCTAATTGACTTGTATCAAGATTTCTAATTTCCAGGCCCGGTCTAATAGTTCACGAAATGTAAATTATTAACAATACAGTCTAAATGTTTCCGAATATTGTACTCTGTGGCCTAATATATTTAGGTGGTGACAAGATTGACCCAGCAAACGTTTAAATTTTTTTAAAATCAAGACCAATACTTTCCAGACACATCTTTTGGACTAGAAGATTAAGAGAGTAACGTCTACAGAGACGATGATTGTTGAATCAAACTTAGAACAATCAAGGAAACAGAAATGACTAGATTCATAAACTTAGAATCCGAACCCATCCAAGAGAAAGTCCCCGATGCCAAAAGCCATATAAGCATTGGAGGTTGCGAGCTTAATATGATTCTTGTTGAGAACAAATTTGTCCCAGTCTTCAAAGACGGCGCTTGTTGGTTTCTCAATCGAAACAATAGTACCAAAGCGATCTTTCTCATAGGCAGTCTTGCTGGCCAGGTTCCACGTGGAAGGACCGATCTCAACAAGTCAACAGCATTCTTGCAGGTCAGACCAAACTCGCTCTCCAGCTTCATCAGAGTCTTGTTTATGCCAATGCCCACAAAGGTGAAATCAGGTAGATTGAGAAAATTGAAGAGAGAGAGAGAGAGGAATGATACTGTCATCTTCTTTTTCTTCTTCATCATCGGGAAGTTGTACTATTAGGCAGTTCAAACTGATGAACCCGTTCGGTGTCAAGACCAATGATCATCTTTCTGTTGTTGTTGTTGGACAAGAATGTCTTCACGAGACGGTTGATGTCGTTTTCTTTTTCAGTTACGGTCGTTTTGATGCGAGCTGCTCCAATTTGCACAACCGAAGTAGACATCTTTGGAAATATTATGAAGAGAGGAAAGGACCTGTGTAGTACTCGTAGACACAGTATGTCTTTATATATAGACGTAAAGGGAATTGCAAAAGTCGAGAAGAGGCAAACAAAGAGTCTGAGACTAAATGACATTTA